GAAACAGCCAAGCTTTGAAGCTGCAAAGCCATTCAGTGATCATCAAGCTGGCCAATGGCAACATTCACACTTGCCTCCAACAGACAAGAGTTCTTTCTCCCACCCACCTCCCAACAAAGGATTCCCCCAGGCAGTAAGCAGCCAGACCTTGAAGATGTAAGATTATTCAATGAGATCTGACCTGACGTCCAGGTCTTCTAGATATGATCTCTATATACTAAAGACTGCATACCCTCTTTTAGATCGGGCATTGGCAAACTTCGGCCCTCTGGGTGTTTCGAACTTCAGGTCCATGCAGGCTTCAAAGCCTGGCCGCTCCCTGCCTGGGGGAATCCTTTGTTGGATTCCCAACAGCAAGGCCTTTGTTTCGTGGTCTGGGAATTTCAAACAGGAAACATTCAGGGCCAGCTAACACCTCCCAACAAATGACCCCCTCCCCCCCCAGGCAGGAAGAAGACACGCTTTGAAGCTGCAAGGCTATTCAATGAGATCTGACTTGACGTCCAGGTATGACCTCAAGTTTGCTCAATGCCTGCTCTAGAACCAGTCCAACTTTGGAAAGAACTCTTGTCTGTTTGAGGCAAGTGTGAATGTTGCAATCGGCCACCTCGATTAGTATTGAAAAGCCTTGCAGCTTTATAGTCTGGCTGCTTCCAGTCTGGGGGAATCCTTTGTTGGGAGGTGCTAACAATGCACTCACCTTGAGCAGCTTCAGGGCTCGGATCTCCCCGGTGTGCCGAACGTGAGGCCCGCGGCAGAGGTCAATTAAGGTCCCGCACCTGAAGACAACAACAACAACAACAACACATAGGTGACCTCAAAGGGCCTACTAAACAATGGCCTGCTTATTCACAATATCTAAATTCGGGTGAGGAAAGTGAATCGAGTTTCAGAAGGAAGAGATCTAGGAGATCCCCACACCTGCCTCACCTGTAAATGGTGGCCGTCGGAGACCTCACCTTCTCGCTGATGATCCGGAGTTTGAATCTGTTGTGCTACAAAGAGACACAGAGAAAGGTTGGAGGCTGGAGGTTCGAATCCATGGAGAGCACGGATGAGCTCCCTCTGTCAGCTCCAGCTCCCCATGCAAAGACATGAGAGAAGCCTCCCACAAGGATGGTAAAACATCAAAACATCCGGGCAACGTCCCCTGGGCAACATTCTTGCAGACGGCCCATTCTCTCACACCAGAAGTCACTCCTGACATGGAAAAAAGTTACTATTACTACTAGGGTTGAATGAAAAGTAATGCCTCCACCATTGTAACTCCTCAACAGATGGCAGTACTGGTATGCTCCCGCCAAAATGGAACTGTAGAGGAGAGTCTACTGAACAAGCTAGTACCTGCTGCATACCAGTACTGCCATCTGTTGAGGAGTTACGAAGGTGGAGGCATTACTTTTCATTCAACCCTCATATTATTGTATTATATTGACACAAAAACACAGCATGACACAACAAACGAGATCTATATGCTGGATTTCATACCACAAAATCACAAGTCAAACACTTCCTGAATTCTTAAATATATTATTATTATTATTATTATTATTATTATTATTATTATTATTATTTTTACTGACACAAAATGTGATCTATATGCTGGATTTCATACCACAAAATCACAAGTCAAACACTTCCCAAATGCTTAAATATATTATTATTATTATTATTATTGACACAAAAGCACAGTATGTCACAGCAAATGGGATCTATATGCTGGATTTCGTATCACAAAATCACAAGTCGAACACTTCCCAAGTGTCTAGGACTGTGTTGTTGTTGTTATTATTATTATTACTATTTTACTGACACAAAACGAGATCTATATGCTGGATTTCATATCACAAAAATCGCTATTATTATTATTATTAATTATTATTGTTATTTACTGGTTTATTATTATTTATTATTTACTGGTTTATTATTATTATTAATTATTATTATTATTTACTGGTTTATTAATTATTATTATTATTATTATTATTATTATTTACTGGTTTATTATTATTATTATTATTTACTGGTTTATTAATTATTATTATTATTATTATTATTATTATTTACTGGTTTATTATTATTATTATTATTTACTGGTTTATTATTATTATTATTATTTACTGGTTTATTAATTATTATTATTATTATTATTATTATTATTTACTGGTTTATTATTATTATTATTTACTGGTTTATTATTATTATTATTATTATTACTTAATTATTATTATTATTATTATTATTATTATTATTATTTACTGGTTTATTATTATTATTATTATTATTATTATTTACTGGTTTATTATTATTATTATTATTATTTACTGGTTTATTATTATTATTATTATTATTTACTGGTTTATTATTATTATTATTATTATTATTATTATTATTTACTGGTTTATTATTATTATTATTATTTACTGGTTTATTATTATTATTATTATTAATAATAATAATAATAATTCAGCTAGGACTGGGAAGACGAGGGTTTGCTCGGCCATGCAACTCTCCTATGTGACCTTGAGCAAGTCACATTCTCTCAGCCTAAGAGGAAATCTATGGCAAACCTCCTCTGGATAAATCTAATTAAAAAGCAATCCTAAAATAGTTCTGCCTTTTCGTTGCTGTCGCTCAGCAATGAAGGCGACACAATGGCGAGATTTATATTTTTAGAAACATAACACAATTGTGTTGTTAAAAACCAATTAAACAAATGACGAGGCTAGGACACCACCGAGTTAAAAAGCAATTGAAGCGTAATGATGTTGCTATTTTGGTCTTCTAACACTGATCTTATCTGCTGGTGCTAATTTCAATGTCGTTTAACGCCACCGCCATTCCCGCAAAAGGCTGGAAATGACTCCAAAAGGAAACCCACAAAGTAAACAAGGGAAGTACTTGAGGTAGACTGCCTCTCAAGGTGGAGGCTTCAGGAATGATTTGCAAACGCGTGGCCCCGACCACATCCTGCATGAGCCACGGATGCCAGAAAAATAATAACAGACCTTGCTGCCCATTTCGGAGACTCCAGGAGGGAAGGAAACACAGCAGTAATTATTTATTTATTTATTTATCGTGTCAGGAGCAACCAGACAGTTGTATTGCATTTTTAAACAAACAAACAAACAAAACACAAAGTTTGCAAGCTTGGTAGTTGATTAAATGTCCTTTGACCAGTATCTGGCCACTTGGAGTGCCTCTGGTGTTGCCGCAAGAAGGTCCTCCATGGTGCATGTGGCAGGGCTCAGGTTGCATTGCAGCAGGTGGTCAGTGGTTTGCTCTTCTCCACACTCGCATGTCGTGGATTCCACTTTGTAGCCCCATTTCTGAAGGTTGGCTCTGCATCTCGTGGTGCCAGAGCGCAGTCTGTTCAGCGCCTTCCAAGTCGCCCAGTCCTCTGTGTGCCCAGGGGGGAGTCTCTCATTTAGTATCAATGGGTTTGAGCCTGCCACTTTTGGACTTTCGCTTGCTGGGGTGTTCCAGCGAGTGTCTCTGTAGATCTTAGAAAACTATTTCTTGATTTAAGTTGTTGACGTGCTGGCTGATACCCAAACAGGGGATGAGCTGGAGATGTCTCTGCCTTGGTCCTTTCACTATTGGCTGCTACTTCCCGGCGGATGTCAGGTGGTGCAATACCGGCTAAACAGTGTAATTTTCTCCAGACACCCCATGATAATGCGGCATGTCTCATTAAGAGCCACATCCACTGTTTATAGTGCTGAGATGTGTTCCACACTGGGCATGCGTACTCAGCAGCAGAGTAGCACAGCGCAAGGGCAGATGCCTTCACTGTGTCTGGTTGTGATCCCCAGGTTGTGCCAGTCAGCTTTCGTATGATATTGTTTCTAGCATCCACTTTTTGCTTGATGTTCAGGCAGTGCTTCTTGTAGGTCAGAGCACGGTCCAGAGTGACTTCCAGGTATTTGGGTGCGCTGCAATGCTCCAGTGGGATTCCTTCCCAGGTAATAATCCTCAGAGCTCGGGATGCTTGTCTGTTCTTAAGGTGAAAGGCACATGTCTGTGTTTTAGATGGATTAGGGATCAGCTGGTTTTCCCTGTAATAGGCAGTGAGGGCACCTAGAGCTTCGGAGAGCTTCTGTTCAACCATCTCAAATCTCTCCGCTTGAGCAGTGATGGTACAATCATAAGCATAGATGAAGCTCTCCGTCCCTTCTGGCAGTTGCTGGTCAATTGTGTCAGTGTTAAACATTAGGAATCAGCTAGTTTTCCCGGTAATAGGTAGTCAGAGCACATCAAGCTTCAGAGAGCTTCTGTTCAGCCATTTCAAAGCTCCTTGCTTGAACGGTGATGGCATAATCGTCAGCATAGATAAAACTCTTTGTCCCTTCTGGCAGTGGCTGGTCATTTGTGTAGATGTTGAACATTAGTGATCAGCTGGTTTTCCCTGTAAGAGGCAGTAAGAGCACCTAAAGCTTCAGAGAGCTTCTGTTCAACCATTTCAAAGCGCCCTGCTTGTGTGGTGATGGCACGATCATCAGCATAGATGTAACTCTCTGTCCCTTCTGGCAGTGGCTGGGCGTTTGTGTCAATGTTAAACATTAGGAAATAGCTGGTTTTCCCTGTCATAGGCAGTGAGAGCACCTAAAGCTTCAGAGAGCTTCTGTTCAACCATCTCAAAGCTCTCTGCTTGAGCGGTGATGGCACGATCATCAGCATAGATGAAACTCTGTCCCTTCTGTCAGTGGCTGGTCATTTGTGTAGATGTTGAACATGGATGGAGCAAGCATCCTCCCCTGAGGCAGGCCGTTCTTCTGTTTCCGCCATCTGCTTCTCTGGCCCTGGAACTCAACAAAAAAGCTCCTGTTTTGTAGCAGGTTTCCTATGAGGCGGGTGAGGTGGTCGTCCTTTGTGATGTTATACATTTTTCTCAGGAGGAGGCAGTGGTTGACAGTACCTGCTGACAGGTCTATGAAGACAGCTCCTGTGATCTGCTGCCTTTCAAAGCCATCTTCTATGTGCTGAGTCAGGTTCAGCACTTGCAATGTGCAGCTTTTGCCTTTCCTGAAGCCAGCTTGCTTGCTCGCCAGCAAGCAATAATAATTAAAGATCCTGAACGGCAAGTTGCCAGGTATTTTAAATGCTTAGAATTCAACCTGACATCCTACAGATATATTGGACTACAACCCCCATCAGCCCCAGCCAAGCCAGGGGATGATAGGCATTGTAGTCCAGCCAATCCCGAGGGAGAGGAAGCTCCTCCGCACCTTAAAGAGCCGCATTAAATCCTCCCGGGAGACCTCCAGCCTCTCAAAGGGACTCTGCGCTTCGATGAGGTCTTGGCAGATTTCCTGCAAAGCTGGTAAATCTTTGCCGGAGACGGTCCTGAAAAGCAATGAGAAAAATATTGTCGAAAGCTGGGGTGTTGTGAGTTTTCCAAGCTACCTGGCCATGTTTCTGAAGCATTCTCTCCTGACGCTTTGCCCACATCTATGGCAGGCATCCAAAGAGGTTGAGAGGTCTGTTGGAAACTAGGCAAGTGGGGTTTATATATCTTGAATAATGTCCAGGGTGGGAGAAAGAACTCTTGTCTGTTGGACGCAAGTGTGAATGTTGCAATTGGCCACCTTGATGAGTACTGAATTGCCTTGCAGCTTCAAAGCCTGGCTGGTTGCTGCCTGAAGAAATCGATTGTTGGAAGATGTTAGCTAGTCTTGACTTTTTCCTGTCTGGAATTCCCCTGATTTTTTTTAGTGTTGCTCTTTGTTTACTGTTCTGATTTTAGTTTTTTTTCAAATACTGAGAGCCAGATTTTGTTTATTTTTATGGTTTCCTCCTTTATGTTGAAAATGCGAAGTCATGTTTTTGGTGATGTGCCGCCAAAATTTTGTACTTTGAGTCAGACTGAGACTTCTAGCGAACTATCAAATGTATCCTTATTGCATTTATTTTTTTWAAAAAATAATATTTAATTTACATTTTAAAATGATATTTTAGACTCAGGAGAGAATGCTTCTGGAACATGGCCAGACAGCCCGGAAAACTCACAGCAACCCAATAATAATAATAATAATAATAATAATAATAATAATAATAATAATAATAATGGGTTGCTGTGAATTTTCAGACCTGGAAACCTCACAAACTCTGAGGATGCCTGCCATAGATGTGGGTGAAACGTCAGGAGAGAGTGCTTCTGGAACATGGCCAGACAGCCCGGAAAACTAACAGCAACCCAATAATAATAATAATATAAATAATAATAATAATAATGCGTTGCTGTGAATTTTCAGACCTGGAAACCTCACAAACTCTGAAGATGCCTGCCATAGATGTGGGTGAAACGTCAGGAGAGAGTGCTTCTGGAACATGGCCAGACAGCCCAGAAAACTCACAGCAACCCAAATAATATTTAATATTTAATGTTAAAATAATGTTTAATTTTAACATTTTGTAATATTTAAATTTTTGAACCAATTTACATAATATGTTAATATTTAAATCAGTAATTGATACATAATATTTAATTTTACATAATGTTTAACATTGAAATTATATTTTAGTATTTGCCATATTAAATATCTTTTTTAAAATAAAAATATTTTAATATTTAATTTTAAATAATAATTAATTTAATTTTTTAAATGATATTTTAGACTTGCTTAGTTTCCAACAGACCTCACAACCTCTGAGGATGCCTGCCACAGATGCAGGCGAAACATCAGGGAAGAATGCTTCTGGGAGATGGCCACACAACCCAGAAATCTCACAACAACCCAATCTTTCTTTGCTTAACTAGCAGCGACATCTTGTGGACAGAAGGAATGCTACCGGATATGGCTCATGATTTTTTTGCCTTGGTCCCAAAATACAAAACGAAAATACACATGGAAACACAAGGAAACGGGTTTCGGCTATTGACTTCCATGGCCAGACAGCCTGGAAAACTCACAGCAACCCAATTATTCCGGTCATGAAAGCATTCAACAACTTATTATTATTGCTGACACAAAAACACAGTATGTCACAGCAAACGAAATATATATGCTGGATCTATTTATTTATTATTTAATATTTATTAAATAATAAGATTTATTTATGTGTTTATTATTTTGAATATAATATTATAAATATTATTTATTTATTTATTAAATATATATGCTGGAATTTATTATTATTATTAAATAATATTATGTATTTATTATTAAGTATATAAAATTACAAATATTATTTATTGATTTATTTAATATATATGCCTGATTTCTATTTATTCAATATATATGCTGGATTTTATTATTATTATTATTAAATAATATTATGTATTTATTATTAAGTATATAATATTATAAATATCATTTATTGTTTTATTAAATATATATGCCTGATTTTTATTTATTTAATA